GACAGGTGATCGGACAGCGCGGAAGCCGCAGAGGCGATTTTCCTTTCGTCCCCGACACACCTCGGGATTTATCGAGCGATTGATTCCAATCAGTTATCCAACTGTTTATCGAATACTCAATACCGCCACCGTCTGGTGTCGTCGGCATGCTACATGAAAATTACATTTTCGGACTTCTCCCGACGAATGTTCATGTAATCTCTGATAATTAGTTCGTTAAATATCCCGAACGAAAACGTAAATCGACGGTGGAATCATTTGGAATGACAAAGTTACAATCAAATATGCATGAAAGGGATGTTCGTATATTCTTTTGCATATTTTAAATTGCGTTATTTTCTATACACAATTATTATCGGCATATTATTAATCATATAAGTTAGTTAAACTGCGTTATTCGAAAGTATCTTTATGTTGTACATCTACATTGTAAAGGTAAATGCACAATCTGATTGCACGGCCACTGGTAGCACACAGGAAGATTAACGACCAAAAGTAATTACATGAATAACAGCAAAGTCTAGTAAAGTCGTCATTACATGAATGTATCTCCCACAAGAGAACGCCACAATTTATTATAAAATATTTCCAATTGGAACAGTACATTATCATAAAGTATGAAATGTACAAGTTCGTATATGGCATCTCTCCGCCCACCTACACCCAAACATTCCGAATTGGCTTCCCTATGGAACAGGACAATAATGACCAGCAACGGAATGGAAGACAAACAGCGAATAAAGTACACAGAGGAAAGAAGAATGGCCGACGTTAATGTATAGCCGGGCAAACAATATTATAAGCTAATTTCTGGGAATCGCGTGCCGTTCGTTTATTACGCGGGTACGTGGATTAATTTCATCGAAACGGCGCAGTGCATAGAATGCTGCAATATCAATTTGACTAGAGCTCGAATGACCCATCGGTTCCAGGGTATTGCAAACAGACGCAGCCGATGTACGATGTCCTCAGAAATTATTAAATTCAATTTCGATATTACCTATTTCATTTTGATAATTACAGACAGACAATTCTTTAATCAATCATGTGAAACGACTCAATCGTGTAAAATATAAGTAGTTTACGTTTAAATTAATTCCTGTTTGCAGTCGAGGCAGTAGTTGCGAGATACATTCGTGACCGCAACATTTTGCGCTGTCTCGATGAAGTTAACAAACCCCGTATGGTATGCCTCACTGATTTGAACACGGCTCACGCGACACGCGCTTTCCTGTTAATTACCCGAAAACTACATGCATCTTCGGTAAGCCGGTACGATCTATCGATAAGAAAATAGTGTAGACTCTCGAACGATAATTTATGCTCCTCATTAGGGAACACATATCAATTTACAATATTGTGTGATTTCATTGAAATTAAACAGCATTTTTTTACTAAGTTAGAGTATGCAGTTTTAAAATTTAAGATATTTAACGATTGAAAGAATGTAATGGGAAAATCGGTTTCATCCTACGTAAATGATGTACACTTTTAAGAATCCATTTTCAATAAAATGTACGAGTATTTCATTGGACCTATTCTCAGCAAACCACGTTCTAATAGAACACTTTACAAGTTATTTCAGATTAAAAAATAATATGATTTATATTCTTCAATATCCATAAATCGCAATTAATATTCGCATAAGGAAAAATGGGACAACATGCTTAACATGGCATATGTTATTTGACACACGAGTAGATAAGGTAATATTAAGCAGACATGCGTTGCCATGTACAATTTAACAAGCGTTCCTCTTAACATATAAAAAAATTGTATCTAGTGTGGTCCTTACTTAATCCTTTTGTTCTACCTCATAAATTGAATATTCTGTTAAAAAATTATTTAAACCCAAAGCAATTTCGAATCAAATTGATCCAAACTGAACGATGGGCGAGGTTTAAATCACGGACAAATTCGATAAATTGGTACACGCACGCGATACAAGTGGAAGAGGGTCGGGTAATAGGAACGTGAACGATGGGATCGGCAAATAGGCATCAAGGGCGTTGTTTACTTGAAAAATACGACGTAGATTTAAAATATCTCTGACACGTCTAATCGAAATCGTGCTATGATAAGAAATGTATGTTTAGGGATAACGCAGAAATAACTGTAACACGTGGTTACTAAAATAAGGCCCATGCTATAAACGTCATATATTATATGTACCTATTAAGTGATACAATAAATCAACTGCGTAATAATAATAAAATATATCCTAACAGTTATGAATTTATGAATGATAAATTATGCGAAGAACGGGAAACGCGAGAAAAGCGTAATTTGAATTAGATCCAAGTTAATCATTATTACGCAATGCAGAGCGTGGACTATAATCAGGTTACATCGGCAAATAACATTGATTTTCAATGGCCGCTATTATTGGACAGGTGATCGGACAGCGCGGAAGCCGCAGAGGCGATTTTCCTTTCGTCCCCGACACACCTCGGGATTTATCGAGCGATTGATTCCAATCAGTTATCCAACTGTTTATCGAATACTCAATACCGCCACCGTCTGGTGTCGTCGGCATGCTACATGAAAATTACATTTTCGGACTTCTCCCGACGAATGTTCATGTAATCTCTGATAATTAGTTCGTTAAATATCCCGAACGAAAACGTAAATCGACGGTGGAATCATTTGGAATGACAAAGTTACAATCAAATATGCATGAAAGGGATGTTCGTATATTCTTTTGCATATTTTAAATTGCGTTATTTTCTATACACAATTATTATCGGCATATTATTAATCATATAAGTTAGTTAAACTGCGTTATTCGAAAGTATCTTTATGTTGTACATCTACATTGTAAAGGTAAATGCACAATCTGATTGCACGGCCACTGGTAGCACACAGGAAGATTAACGACCAAAAGTAATTACATGAATAACAGCAAAGTCTAGTAAAGTCGTCATTACATGAATGTATCTCCCACAAGAGAACGCCACAATTTATTATAAAATATTTCCAATTGGAACAGTACATTATCATAAAGTATGAAATGTACAAGTTCGTATATGGCATCTCTCCGCCCACCTCCACCCAAACATTCCGAATTGGCTTCCCTATGGAACAGGACAATAATGACCAGCAACGGAATGGAAGACAAACAGCGAATAAAGTACACAGAGGAAAGAAGAATGGCCGACGTTAATGTATAGCCGGGCAAACAATATTATAAGCTAATTTCTGGGAATCGCGTGCCGTTCGTTTATTACGCGGGTACGTGGATTAATTTCATCGAAACGGCGCAGTGCATAGAATGCTGCAATATCAATTTGACTAGAGCTCGAATGACCCATCGGTTCCAGGGTATTGCAAACAGACGCAGCCGATGTACGATGTCCTCAGAAATTATTAAATTCAATTTCGATATTACCTATTTCATTTTGATAATTACAGACAGACAATTCTTTAATCAATCATGTGAAACGACTCAATCGTGTAAAATATAAGTAGTTTACGTTACGTTTCAATGGAGTTCAAAATTTAATGAAAAATTATTTTTACACGGTCTAATTGTATTTGATTAAAAATTAATATTATTTCATTCGCTTTTTATTTGATGTTAAAACTAACATATTGAATAAATGAATAATGTTTACTTCACTTATGCGTATCACTGATTTTGCGTTCTCTATTTTCTGTGAGCGCTATTTTATAATACATACAAAGGGAGCGGTCTCGTTTAACTTCATCACTGCAGGATTAATTAATTCAAATGCTGATTCATTTAAATAAAAGCAGCTCGACCTCATTCTACACTCACCGATGGGCGAAAAGTTTCAATGACACATGTTTTCCGATGGCAAGTTCATGCTAATACGCGGAATAGTTCGCGGAGGGTGAATACTCGTTTGTATTCATAGTACGGTATATACTTGTTGAACGATTAAAATTGCTAATTTTTCGGATAAGACTGGAATTGTCAAACCGCAGTTTTTTTAGGAAAACACCTGTGGGTGATTTACAGAACCATACGTATTAGATTGGCTTATACGTGATTATAAAATGTAGATATTAAAGACAGATTTAATTAGTCTAATGAAAATATACTTTAAGAAAATTCTATGTATAGACTGATTTCTTCATTATGACTAATACTGTTAATATCATGTAATTTGCAAATTTATTTATCAAAACATTATGAAAGCAATAAAAATATCTATTCAATGTTTTAGTTTTCACTTGCCATTCATATGCAAGAAAAGGAGAGTATGTCAAATCTATTCGATAAATATTTCTATAACAATATTTCCGGATGCGAGATTTCTCAACGTAAACAGGCGTAATATAAAATCGGACAGAAACATTTTGCGTGGAAGCCGATGGGGTTTGGAATTGCACCGCACCGCGTCGATACCCGATATATCGAACATCTTTTCCTTTAATGGATACGCCGATACGCGAACTACTGGCATGCCTCGAGACTCCAGCACACTTTTACGGCAATCAATCGAAGCCGTAAAACCTTCTTCAGTCTACACGTGACCCATACAGATCTGGTTTCCCGTCCTGACCATCGCACACCGTTAGAACATCTTCAAGGAGCGTTACGAACCGAACTGCACGCGCCTCGATTCTCGTTTACGTTAGAAAAGTGTTGATTTGCCTGGAATTCTCCTTATCCTAACCGAATGTCGTTTTCAAGACACGTGGCAATGTTTTATGGTACTGCCTCGAATTACGAGCCCGAGGAAACAAACCATTTTTCTCATGGCAGACCATTCACTTTATCTAGCCATTTCAGAGAATTGAAGTACTGAGATGAATTCATATTGCGTTTAAATTGTATAAGTTTATGAGAGCACAATTTGAGTACAATTTTAGTACTGCTTTCATATGCAACGTTCAATCATCCCATTATTTTTTTAATGCAAATTTATGTATCTTAAATCTTGTCACCACTTACTAACAATAAATCACTTTTATACATAAAACCAGGAAAAGACTAAACAGGAATACTCAGTGGACGAAAAAGCACGACTTACCTTAAGCTGATGTTGCGGTCGCCTGAGTGCACCCTGGTCCCGCCGTCCGCCGAGCCGATCAGCCTCCGCTTCTAATCCTTCCATCGAGGACTCAGCTTCGCTCAACCAAGCCAAGAACTTGTCCAGGGACCGGTCGAAGTTGTGGAGGGAGTTCATCGCGGAATGTAACAGTTTTCCCCGATTGATGATACTGAGAAAGATTTAGTAGAATATACATCCCGTTGTCGCGACACATGTTCAATTCTTCAGTTTTCAATCAACATGTGTTCGGAGCAAATTATAAATGCATATACATTTATGCCAAACGCGAAGTATTTACGAATCAGAAACGAGTAGGCAGATTACCGATAAGCGCGGTTCAACCAGAGACTGGGGTTAAGGTTAAACTTAATTTTCCACTAGGGAGGACGCCTGGGCGAACTCATACATAGAGATAATAGATATAGAGAAGATGAGCCATACGGTCGCGTGTAAGAGGAAATGGTAGATGTATAGAAAAAAAGAAAAGATCAGGGTAGCGATGCTATCTTTTCTTGAATGACTTGAATTCAAGGGAGATAGCATCGCTACCCTGATCTTTTCTCTCTTTCTAATGCGTTCCCACTTTTACGGTTGTCTCCCCTACTCTATATCTATTATCTCTATGAACTCATATCACTAATCATTGCACGTCCGTTTTACGTTCGATGGTAGAGCCATTATACTTAGGATTTAAGAACTAAATATGCAAATTATTATTAATGGCGTCTTTCAACGCGCCAGTGTGTAGTTAATAAATTGTGTTTCATTATATGTCAAAATTCTATTTCATTCTTTTTAATCCCAGAACAGTCTTCATTGGAAATAAGTGAATTTATTATCTCGCCTAACCGCTCAAAATATGGGTATGCTTTCCAACTTCATAACTGTCAAAATCTGGTTCCGTTTGAACCACGCTCGTCGGCAATCTTGCTACTCGTTTCTGGGAAGAATATGCTAGTCCAAAACACAACAAACATCGCGCGAATACAAGGCATTTAAGATAATATTACTACTATCCTGGCTTCTGGTTTCTGATTCTAATGCAGTCACGAAAGCACGCAGCAGTTAGATTATCTTTCACTCGAGCATTTACTGAAACGCTGTATTTACTTTTTGCAGACCCTATGAACACATTTATCGCGTTATGCATCCAACTTCTATTATAATAAAATCGTCTTATAACATGCACTCCTAATTTTGAAGCGATTAGTGTTACTTTTGCATATTTTGTCATGTCTAAGTCCCGCAATTGATTTCAATTTGGTACGTAGATTCGATCAAAATAAATTTTGAGTGTAAAATGATTTTCCAGAGAAAAAGTTTACTCTATGTACATTTTTATATATTTTCTTATAACGCAATGTAATAATTACTGTCAACGTCATAAGGTATGTTACCTGGTGTTCAGATTGTTGTACCGCTGATTGATGGTCTCGGTCATCTTTTTCACGCGCGTCGTGTCGTCTTCCTGATAAACGGCGATCAGTTTCTGCGTGAGCTGATTGAACTGCTCGATCTGGTGCTTGTATTGGTGCAACTCCGCGTGGAACGACTGCAAGTAGACGTGAAACATAATGAAATGAGAAAGGGAAGGAAGGTCAGCGTTGCCTCGTGTCCGGATCGTGGAAAACTTATCTCGCGACCGGCTTTGGCTGTCCGTCGAGACAATGTCGACGTCTCTCGATAACTCGCAAAAGTTAAATCTTCCCTCGAGAGGGAAACTGAGAGGGTTTTCAACTTTTATGCCAGTATTTCGTGTCGAGAAAAACTTTTATACGGCTCGGCGACTGATTCCGCGCGCGCGGATCAAACTTACGACCGATCTGATTAAAGCTATTCGAACAGGGAAACGTGCTCTCAATCACCCCGTTGGGTTGATACGGCGAAGGTGCCTTCGATTTTACGTTTGAGATAAATTGATCACTTTAAAGTACTTGTCCATTAACGGAAATTAAAAAAGTGATCACTAAATGCCGTGAAGGGAAGGGATCTCTTTATTGCATCTAGAATTTACAGAAGACAGGAAATGGATTTGTTATAATTGGATTGGGAATAAAAGTCAAATCCTGGTACGTATACTTAAAAAAGGATTTGAATATTTAAAAAAGGTTAGCCTTCTATCTTTAGTCCCTCATTATATTTGGTGCATATTTATACACTTCACTTTTTAGTACATCATTTTTACTATTTTGAACATTTTCTGGCAATCTAATTATAATAAGTCCAGGATAAATAAATG